AAAAAAAGAACCTGGGGAAGGGAGGGAGGGAGGGGATGGTAGGGGGAAAACAATGGAGGGGGTAACAATGTTCAAGAGGAAGTGTACTCATTACCTCACTCATGTAACTGTAACCCTCTGTATAATATCTTTACAATAAAAAAAATTTAAAAAAAAATTAAAAAAGCATTAAAAGTAAAAAAAAACTGAGCTTTGTTCACAAATAAACACACATCATACACACACACACATATACAATGTACATCTATACATACACACATATACATATATATACATATATATATATAAATTTTCTTTACTCCTCGCTCTTATTTTGGGTAAAACAATTATAAATGATTCTTACAAAGAGAACATTCAAATCTTGAGCTTAAGCAAGATCAATTAGTTAAGCCTTACTATTTTTTGGTTGGGTTTTTTTTGTTGTTGTTGTTCGGTCCTGGGGCTTGAACTCTGGGCTTGGGCACTGTCCCTCAGCTTTTCGGCTCAAGGCTAGCACTATACCACATGAGCCACAGCACCACTTCAGGCTTTTTTTGTTTATGTGGTGCTGAGGAATACCCAGAGCCTCATGCATGCAAGGCAAGCACTCTACCTCTGAGCCACTTTCCCAGCCCTTTGTACACAGGTTTAACTTAAAAGCTCCTTCTTTCCTGATTTTCAAAATGTTCTGCATTGCTTTACCACAATATTGGTTACTAAAAAATGGGTAATAAAAATTGGATCCAGAAACTATTATTGCATATGAATTTCATATACAAACATACTAAGCATTATTACAAGTAGCTAAACTCCTATGAGAAATTTTACTTACTTGTCTTGTTTTCAACAGAATTCTCTGAAGGAAAATTGTTATCTTTATCAAGTTTATATTCCTTTGAAGAAACTACTGCACCAGATGAATCCTAAAAACAACGATGAAGTTAAAAAAAATGTAAAGGAAATCTGTAATTCTTAGTCTTCTATTTAGTGAATTTTTTTTTTTTTGGTCATGGGGCTCGAACTCTGGGCCTGGGCTCTATCCCTCAGATCTTTAGCTCAAGGCTAGTGCTCTACCACTTAAGCCACAGCATCACTTCCAGCTTTTTATGGAAGGGCCTCATGTATGCAAGGCAAGCACTCTACCATTGAGCCACCTTCCCAGCCCTAAGTGAGTGAATCTTAATAGGTCAGGTTCCAAAACATAGTTCATTATAATTCGGAAGATATCTTCTGTATTAATTAATGTAAATTGCCTTTTAGAAGTCAAGGGTATTGGACACTTCCAAGTAGTGGAACGCTAGCCTTGAGCTGAAGAGCTCAGGGACTGTGCCCAGGCCCAGAGTTCAAGCCCAATGACAGACCAAAAAGAAAAAAAGTTGAGTACTTATTAATACTGTAGTTTGTGTTGTCAATTTATAGACCAAGATAACGACAATTTGCCTTGTGAAGATTAAAATGTGTCAGTGTCATTTCTCTGGGCTCCACAGTGTCCCTTTACCCTTTCTGATTCATCCTTAGAGAGAAGAGCCTATTTGTACAAATTTAAAATGCACAAGTCCAGCTTCTCAGGAAATAAGACAGAACTGAATAAATATCTAGCTAAATAATCAGCTCTTTAAAGCCCAGAAAACATTTATACATTTATTTTGGTGCCAGGACTGAGGCTTGAACTCAGGGCCTAGGGCACTGTCCCTTAGCTTTTTGGCTCCAGACTGGGCACTCTACCACTTGACCTACAAGCTCCACTTCTGGCTTTTAACTGGTAATTGGAAGTAAGAGTTTCATGGACTTTCTGCCCCAGCTGGCTTTGTGATCTTCAGATCTCACCCTCCTGAGTAGACAGGATTACTGGTGGGAACTATCAGTGCTTGGCTAGAAATGGTGTTAACAGAGACTTAGTTATTTGTTTGCTGTATGGTGACAGGAATAACAATTGGGAGATGGACAAGGAAATTGCACTGTATCTCAATTTTTCTTAAACTGAGATAGATTCATATACAGTGAACTTGTTCACTATATGTTATTTAGATTGAAGACTTACTAGCCAGCTCTTTTTGAAGTGATATACTTAGATTTCCTTACCTTTATTAATTCTTCTTTGTTTCTACTTCTTGAATGTTGTAGTTCAACATTCTTTTCTAGTAATAAGTATTTTGACATTTGATTCTTCACAAAAGTTTTTCTCTTACATATAACCTCTGAATCAGAATCTCCAGTTGTTTCTGGTTTATTTTTGTATGTGACTCCTAGTGACGGTCTATCTTCTGGTGACAATTTTTTAAGAGACATTTTTTTCCTAGTAATAAAAAATGCGGCTCCACCTTGGAGTGTAACCTGTGGTTTTACCTTTTGGCTTAGAACCCGAGGAGTATTTGGATTACTTTCAGCTAGGTAACAATTATATTCTTTCTTTACAACAGGTTTATTTGACATTTGATTTTGCTTGGAATTTCTAGAATCTGTTGACACTTCCTTGATGTGCGTAAAACGGCGTTGACACTTAACAGTTAAACTCTTTCGTGTTTTTTTGGTCTTCTTTTTGATAGAGACTTTTTCAGTCATAATGGGAATAGGTTTATCTTCACCATTAGTCTGCAGACAAGATCTACTATCTCTTATCAGCTTTCTCTCCAGTGGATTGAGGTACAATTTATCTTTGTTGTAAAAAGATATAGTAGACACAGCAGATTTAAATGGTGAGCTGTGATCTACAGATGACAATCTGTATTTTGTAGTTGTTTTGTGTGGACTTGAAATCAAATGGTCTTGAGGAAAGCAATGTTCTCTGTCTTCTTTTTTATCACTGTTCTGACAAGCATACTTTTTTGTAGGTGATGGAAATAGACTTTCAGTGAGGTTCAAAATTAATTCCTGTGATGATATTTCTGATAACAGGCTATGAAAAGAAAGGAAGTCCATTGATAGGTTCATTATTTTATTATAAAACTTATGGAGACCTACTACTACACAAATTCCCTTTATATCAAAAACAATACATATTGAAAACAAACATATAGAAAATCATACCAAAACAATACATCCCTCTTCATCAAACAGCTATTTAATAACAAATTATCTTTAACAAAGCATAGAAAATATCTTTCTACAGGAAGATAACAGTATTTACAAGAAGGCTTTGATATGTGTATGTGTTAATAAGCTATGAAAGCCAGGCTCTTTTCTTTTTTATTTTTGTGCCAGTATTGGGGTTTGAACAAGGCCAAGGTGCTGTTCCTTAGGTTTTTTGCTCAAGGGTGGTGCTTTACCACTTGAGTCACTGCTCCACTTCCAGTTTTTGGTAGCTAACTGGAGATAAAGAATTACACGGGCTTTCTTGCCCTGGCTGGCTTTGAACCTTGATTCTCAGATCTTAGTTTCCTGGGTAGCTAGGATTACAGGTATGAGCCACCGGTGCCCAGCTTAAAAGCTAATTTATCTCTGGTATCACATGTAGTAATGCTGTAGTACAATAGTCCCCTCATCCCCCTTATCCACAAGGGGATACATTCAAAGACTTTTGGTGGATGCCTGAAAATACAGACAGAACCCAACCATACATATACTACACTTTCTATACATACCTATGCAAAGATTTAATTTATAAAGTAGACACAGTAGGAGATTAACAACACCAGGACACCAATTAAATGAATGCAGTTTCTCTCAAAAAAAAATCTTACTAAGGCTGGGAAGGTGGCTCAGTGGTAGAGCGCTTGCCTTGCATGCCTGAGGCCCTGGGTTCGATTCCTCAGCACCACATAAGCAAAAAGAAAAAAGCTGGAAGTGGCGCTGTGGCTCAAGTGGTAGAGTGCTAGCCTTGAGCTGAAGAGCTGAGGGACAGAGCCCAGGCCCAGAGTTCAGGCCTCATGACCGGACCCAAAAAAAAAATGTCAAAAAATCTTACTATATGATCACTGTCTTTTCTAATATTTTCAGATCCAGTTGACTGTAGGTAATGAAAACTTCAGACACTTCTGTGCACAAAACTTTGCTTACAGGTAAGCATTAATTCTATATTGGATATTACCTTAAATATTACAGAAATGAGTGGAAGGAACAAGGAAATAAAAGATTGCTTATGTCCTAGCCATAAAAAAAAACTGACTCTCCCAAAAGACTACATAATTTGTTATATAAGCTTTTGTGTTTCCAAACTAGCACTAGAAAATAGAATAATACGATAGCCACTAAGAGCAGACCTCAGATAAATGGAAATTTTAGGAGAAAAACAAGATAGCTTTTTTTTTTCTTTTTTGAAGTGTATGTGTACAGGATGACACTCACCTGTCACAGTTCAAAAAATTCTGCTTCCTCTTTCTTGGGGTGAACACTGCCATCTTCTTAACTGAACTCCTAAAAGCAACGGGTAGGTAAAAATAAACAAACTCATCAAATGGGCATAAAAATCACTAGGTCAATTTGTTTCAGATTCAAGAAAAAAGGACTTTCATTTTCTAACCCTTTCGGGTGTGTACCTATCGGATGCACACACACTCGTTTCACGCTGGAAAGCTGTCCTGAGGCACTCATGTCAAGTGCACGGTTTTCTGGAGAACTCCATGAAGCCGCTCCCTGCTCCCTCCCATGGCTGCTCTCCGCGGCACCCCAATTCCTGGACGCCCCACGCAACCGCCTCCGCAGCCTCCCCGCTCCACCAGAGCAGAGACCCCATTCGAGGGAGGGTGGAGACGCGCACGGCCACCCTGCCGCCGTCCCGGCCGGGCCCGGTCACGCGCGCAAAGCTCACCCCCAACCTCAAAGCCACCCGCAGGACGGGCCGGGTCTGCGGGACCCCGCCGGGCTGGGCGAGGACGGCGCCGCCGCCGGCACCCAGGGGAAACCCGGGGCTCGCGACGGCGGGGAGCCCACCCGCGGCTTCGGCCTCCAGCCCGCCGACCTGCCGGGCTGGGAGTAAACGCACTCTCCGCTTGACATTCACCTCGGGTCAGAGACTGTGGTTCCCCGCGGCTTCTACTTGTAACCCGGGCCCGGCAGCGGCTCCGTGCAGCCCGGACCCCTCAGACCTCTCCTCAGCCCAGCCAGACGCTCCAAGAGCATATTCAAATTAGCGCGCGCCAGGCCACACAGACGCTGCCGCGTTCTGATTCGTCACCGCTCAGAGACTGGCCCTCTGATTGGTCACTCCTTGCGTTTGCTGCGTTTGCCCCGCCCTTCCGAGCGGGCCGGCTTCGAGGTTCTCCCGCCCTTAGGAGGCAGAAAAGATTTCTCTGGAGGGGGTGGGGGGAGGGGGAAGCTCACCTCTGTCAATCTCCCGCAGCTTGGCCCGCAGACTCCACTTCCCCCAGGCCTTTTAAGGTGCATTCTGGGAATTGTAGTTTTTGGAACGGATGGACGTTCTCGGGTCAGGGGGTGTATGAAGCTTTTTGTAATCTCTCTGAGATTCTTGAGGCACTTCTTTCTGCACATTGGATGTTCGACGGTACTTTTTTTTTTAATGAGTGATACTTCAGGTTCCTATTTCCATGTATCTTTTACGTTGTAAAAATTAGGTCAGGGCATGAGTGTCTGCTATGATCCGAGCATTCTCAGCTGTTTCATATAGTTTATTTAGTCCTCCTCACGGTGAGGTATATAGTATCATTCCCATTTCGCAGAGCATAAAGCTGAAAACAATGATTATTTATGAAACATCGTTTCTTATG